ATTACCTATAAAATAAATTTCTTCAATAACCATTTCAAGAAAAGAAACAAACATTTGCGAAACCAAGAACAAATGAATAAAGACTACGTTCTTCTTTTGGTATTCTAATTATATATGAAGCTATCAAAACAGGAAAAAACTGAAGAGAGGTATGAATGATGCTAGCAACTGGAAGAATCCATAATTCTTTTAGCTCAGAAATTGTGTCTATTGCTGTGGCTACTTGATAAAGAACAACACATGGCATAAAATAAGTAAATATTAATTTAGAAAAAATTGACCTCACTTGTGTGTTAAATCCAGAGAGTTTTGAAGCTGCAAATCCCATCAGTGTGATGCACATAATTTTGATTACTGCAAAACATGCACATTTGATGATTTCTCTTACTAACATTAATGAATGAGTTACTTCTTCAAATTTTTGTATTATAAATATCCCTATAAATAAAATTTTCTTAATGAATGAAACTATACAATAACTTAAAACAATTTTTGTTCCTTTCTCGCTATTTCAATTGAGGAGTATTGTTAACCTCAAAAAGAAGAAGATTTTAAATAAACATTCTTAATAACCAAAAAAACTTAAATTCTATTTTTAGTTAAACAAAAAAAATTATTTCTTTGTTTTCCCACCCTATTTTCAAAAAAAGAAAAACCTTCTTCAAATATCAATAAATCGTTTTGGTGTGAAACGTTCTGGATGTTGTTTTCCACAAAGTGCATTTGATATTCCTTTATAATCAAATGTATTTTGGTCACAATAACTCACTCTTTTATTATTTTCTTTATAAACACGAATATCAACCATAAATCCATATCCAAATGAAAATAAAACATCATTTGATATTTGACCTGTATAAAATGCATATTGTTGTTGTTTAATATCAAATTTCTTCATTCCTTCTATTATTTCTTCTAAAGACTTAGTCTCAACTCTTACATTTAACTGATTGACAATTTTTGATAAAAAAACTAAAGAGAGGGTTTAAAAAAGAAAAACAAAAGTACTAAACAACCAATCAGTAAATACTTTTCAAACACTAAAACAGATTATATATGGCTATTAGTCATAAGGTTATTATTAGTAGAAACAACTCCTCCTTTTTTGTTAACCGCCAAATAAAATTATAAAATATACAATTACATTGCAATACAACTAAAAACACACTATTAGAATAGTGTTATACATACTCAAAGAGAGGTTATAGATAATTATTTTGCAAGGATATTTTTTATAACCTTTCTTTTATTTCTAACAAACTTAGTCTTTCTTTTAGAACTAATTTTAAATATTTTTAAAAGAATTAATTAACTTTTATTCCAATATACAACTATTACAAAGATATTGTATTACAACTAGTTGTTAGTTTGTGTAAACAATTTGGAAAATACAAAATTAATTGATTGCAAAATAAACGAACAAATGAATAATTAAATAAAATAACAATTAAATTTCCAATGTCTTAGTTATAAAAAACATATTAATCTTGGTACTTAAGGGATTGATTCTAGAATTAATTCTTAACCAAATTAGATGAGGATTTAACAAATATAATGTAAAGTCTGACAGATTTATTAATTGGATTAGAAAAATAGATAGAAGTAATGTTAAAATGATTAAATGATATTGTATGAACTATTGATATTGTTAAAAATGTTTCAATTTAGAACGATGTTTATGAAACGAAGTATAATAAAAATAAGTCAATATCACATTTGTATAAGTATTAATACTATCATATGTATAATCAAAATAACCATCAATAAATATTGATTTTATGAATCTAATTAAATTAATCAAATAAAATACATTATAATACATTAAGTAAAATAAAAGTCGTAAGAAATTATAAACTGGTTTCATTCATCTAAAATAAAATTTAATAAAATATTGCTAAATTGTTATATCAAGACATAAGATAATATTTCTAAAAGAAAGGAAACACAGAACATATCTTAGAGACTTTTTATAATAATAAATTTTATTGAAAAAATAGCGTATAAATTGTCTGTTAAAAAGTACAAAATTAAAATTATTACTGTGTTTATAAGAAAAAATTTGACAGACATTGTTTAAAAATAAATAGAACAGTATAAATTAACATCACTATTCTGTTTTGTTCTTGTTTAAAACCAATTTAATTAAAATCTTTCATTTATTATATTTTTTGTTCTTAAAAATTTTTACTTATGAAATAATAAAAAGACAAAATACTACTATCTATTCATTTTTAGAAAGAAAAAGTAGGAATTGTATTTCATTCTTTTATTGTTATTTTGATAGATATTTTTAATTATATCAACATTAATGAATTAAAACTTATCTTTCTCT